ATCATCAGAAAAATGTTGCTACCACATGATATCGCGCCGGAAGTATGTTTCCTCAATAAAATTTTAAGCTAATTGATAATTAATACTTATCTTAATTACTTAACTAATTAAAATTATCGACATTTATTTACTTCTCAAGAATAACATTTCTTTATTTTTTAATTCCTGGCAACTTATTATCTAATTTGATGATTTCAGTCCAATATTTTTAAATTGATAACTACAAAAATGCATTTTGACATAAAATGTTTCTATTTGAAATTAGCTAAAGCGAGTTAATTTCGAGTGATAAATTTTTGAAAAATTGAGATTAATATTTTACAAGACTTTAACTAAAATAAAATAAATATTAATTTATACATTTATCGAAAGTTTAAATGGTTACCCCAACTAAGATTTGGTTATTTGGATAATAAAAATGTACAAACATTAAAAATTATTCTTTTTTTTCAACGATTTTTATCAAAGTGGAAAAATCACACCAAATTGGAGATATAAAAAAAATTGCGATTTTTTAAATACTAAAGCAGCTTGTACTAAATGCTATCATTTACAAATTAATTACGGTAGTTAAAATTGTAATTTCTTTTATAATAACAAATGACTAAATTTTGAATTTTTCTTGTAATTTTTTTAAAATTACGTTACAGTTTTTCCGCAAACCTCGAATCGCATTGAACCGAAAGCTGTCGTATTTATTGTCAACCGCAACTATTTTTTTCTAACAAAAATTTTATGTTCTGTTTTAAGTTAATTATCATCCAAATTAATTCGAATAAGCTGTAAATATAAAATTTTAATTTATTTATTCATTTAAAACTTAAGTTCTTTAAATATTTACGTTGAAGTACCTTACTGAAAAACCTATAATTTATTAACAATATTAAAAAAAATAATTTTATCAAAATTTAAAATTTTTAATAAATTTTTAAAAATAATTTACTAAAAATTTATGAAGTCATTTATTTAGTTTTTTAAGCTTCATAAAAATACTTGGGAGCTAAGCCCTCTCTTCTCTGCCGCTCACCAACACTGAAGATTGTTCTTTAGTAATTGTTATTTCTTGGAATAAAACAGTTTTTTTTTAAATTGTCATTATTTACTCAAAATGTATACTCTAAAAAGAATTCCGCAAACCTTAGGCTTGTGCCTCAACTTCCCACCTCCAAATATTTTCCTTATGATTCTTCTAATATATATTAGTAAACAAGAGTAATTTGTGTAAATAATCATATTTGAAAAAAAAAGCATTTAAAATTTAGAGTACATTGTTATTACAAATTTGGTAAGTCCACAACAGTAATTTGAAATTTTCACATACCAAACGGACGAATGTATTAAATACAATTTTGGCATGATTAATATTGCAAATGAAGCTAAAAGTTAAGTTCTAAATCATTTAACGAATCTCTGCAACTGTAGTTTATAATAGTATGTAAATGTAAATTACTCAAATAATAATCGAAGCGGGGTATGTTATAAATCTGTACTTTCGAGAAAGACGGAAAAAAAAAACTGAGTAAATTATAGAAAGATTGTTTTAATTGCATTCAAATTGTTGGATTCCCTCCTTTAGGCAATCTAAAAAATTACTCGGTATTTTATAATTGGTGATTGATGTTCCAAAACCTACAAAAAAGTAACCCCGTTCCATAACATTAACCGCATCAACTATAAAATGGTTGATTAGATTGGACACCGATTTAAATAACTTTATCTCAGAAAGTAGCGCAGAATTACGTTGTATTATTAATAATAATAATAAAAAATAACATCTCTTAGTTTTTAACTATTAATTTGAAAAACATTCAAAATCAAATACGTATTGATAGCAGAACAGGAAAATATAAGTTTAAATTATGGATGCAAAAATATTTATAAATACCTTTATTACTTTTATAAAATATATGCTGATGACAACCAAGACAATATGGAAATTAATGTGAGAAAATTGGATCCAACCATGTGATATTATGGCCAATAAAAAAGCATGGATAGAAATGGAAAAATGTGCGTAACAATTATGTTTTTTGTTGTTTTTGTTTTATAGCGAGATCGCAAAAACCATTTTTTTTATTTTTTTATATTAAAAGCCATTGAAGTATTTTAATTTTGCTGATTTAATAAAAAAATATATCAATTTTTAATCCAGCTTCTAAAAGTGAGGAGATTGATGTTTGAGATAATAAAAAAAAGGTTGTTGAATTCCATTTATGTATGAACGATGTTTGAGTTCGTTGTTAACTAATGAATTATATTTCATATTTTAAGTTATTTATAGTTTTTAAATATTTCTCTATCTCTGGATATCTTTATTCTCTAAGAATAAGATACATGTATCTTTGCCAGTCATCAGAATTAAATTATTAAACGTTTGTCTTGTACTTATCTGCAATAATTTATTAATCCCTTATTTAAAGGATATTCAAAAGTAATTCTTATTTCGTAATTTAAAAGAGCTGCGAAGTGGTTACTATGCATGTGTTGAAGGAAAGGATGAAATATTGTAGTGTCTGCGTGGGGATTCGAACCCAATGAGATTGACACTATAGTCTTCTAAGCATATGTATGTACCCAGCTTCATTAAGGTAAGTGGCTTCATAAGGAGTTCACAGCGATTTCCTTTCCCACTCTCATTCTTTATAACTAATAGTTGAAAACAGAGGGTGTTGTTCCTTTATTATGTTAAAATTTTGCAATATAATACAGCATGTGCAACAATTCTAGGTACATGCATTCCTTTTAAAATTAAAAGCATCGAATAGTATGTAAAATTAGTTTTTCATAGGATTGGTTCTCGACTTATTTTCATACATATATCTTGTTTAATTTGCATCGTCACAAATTAAAAAAGGGCAACCGATTTTAAACTTTTACTAACTCATGCAGTTGCCATTTTACACTCATTAAAGAGTACACCCCATTCAAGCTCCAATAACTTTCGATGTAAGACCAAAAATGTGTGTCGTCTCACGTTGTCTCAATGAAACACTACTTTTATAAGATAGACAAGCTCAAGGCCCTTCTGGAAGAATGCTCCGTTCAAACTGCCCAACAGAATTGTACATAAAACAGCTGAATTTATTGTTCCGTTCCCTGGTTGGAGCTCAAAAAACACCACACCCTTCCAATCCCATCATACTGAGGCCGTAACCTGTCTGAGATGAAGTTTTGGTTTTGAATTCACCAATGCTGAATCTTCATCTCGTGAACAAAACCGTTTTCATAAAATATTGTTGTAACCAGTCAACTTCTCATCAACAGTTATCATTCGTTTAAAAAAAGTATCGTTTTCTTCACTCTTTATGAACTTTTTTGAGTTCATGAGTAACCCAAATTTCAAGCATGCTTACTTATCCAAGGTTTCTTTAGATGGACATGAATACTTTTTTGCCGGATTTTGACTGTCACTGCAATCTCTCGTGTCGTGTAAAGTGAGATCGACTGGATCAATGTCTTTATTTTGTCATCATCAATCTGGCTAGGCCGTACTGATCGGGGACCATCTTTTAAATCAAAATTACTAGCTCGGAATTTCTTGAACCAAATTTGGCATTGAAGTTCTCATAGGGCATCGTCACCGTAAACGTCGTGCTGTCAAATCTCTGAAACTCAAACGAAATATCTTAACTTGTTCTTTACAATGAAGCCTAAACTGTCAGTAAGCTTAAACAATTGCAATTGCTTCAAGTATTTTAGAAACATCACTACTGCCATCTGTTTAAAAAAAAACGCAATGATTTTTTACTCAACAAAAGGATTGGTATTGATTTAGTACATTTTATTCTTTGTATATCATATCTTTATGGTAAAATAAAAAATTACTAACAACTATTACCTATAAAAATGCAAACGATTATTTTAAAAAAAATTTATATTCCTTTACTTTTTTTTCACTGTCGCGACAGCCCTGGGTGGGCCCTGACTTTCTCTTGGAGTTTCCTTCAACTGTCCCTCTGTTCGTCTACTGTCCTCCAGTTTTTAGTTTTCAAAGTGTCGATGTCTTTCTCAACACTGTTGTTCTTTCTTTTTATCTAGTTCTCATAAGTTTTCATAAAAATATTTTCATACAGCTATAGTCTTCCTGCATTCTGATTAAATGTCCAGTCCATTTTAGTCTTTGTAATTTTATGTACTTGATATCAGACTCCCTTAAGATTTTATACAGCTCTGAGTCAGTTCTTCTTCATGAGTCGTTTACTTGAGTCTCACCACAGATACTTTGTAGTACCTTTCTTTCAAATATTGCATTCGCCTCCTCGTATTCCCTGCCCAAGTCTAAGAAGCATAAGTTAAGACAGATCTTATAAGATTTTATATAAGAATAATTTAGTTCTCAATTTTAGAAATTTGGATCTCACGAAGTTGGATCATCTGTGAAAACATTCCTTTTACTTTTAAAGACATGTTTGTGGTTGAAATAAATCTATCGAAACTGTTAGTAAGTTTTCCCGAAATTTTGAAGTGAATTTTAGCACTTCCCTTACAAAAATTAAAGGTGTTTTTAAGGTTTACCTGAGGTGGTTGTTTTGATTTGTTAAGATTGGTTTGAGGTATATTTGAAGTTGACATCAAAAACAACCTTATTAAATCAACCTCCCAAGGTGATTTTATAAGGTTGTTTTAGTTATATTTGAAGTTGATGGAAATTTATTTTAGAGCAACCAGGTTGTTTTTTATGGGTACAGGTTACTTTTTCTAGGCAAATAAGTACTTCAGGCAAATAAGTATATTTGAAGTGTGAATAATTTCTCTCGAAATCAACTAAAAATATAGCTCAGCTGTATATGAGGTTGATTTCAGAAGGTGTAAATGAAGTTGGATTTGAGGTTTATTAAAGAGGTCATTTTTGGTGAAAACATAACCTCGTTTTCTATCTCAGGTGTGTTTTTTTACATCTGTCAACTTCAAAAACACCTTATTTTTCTGTCAGGCTTCTTTTGATGCATAGAGTTTACATTTAATTTCATAAGACAACAGCTTCAAATAAAGAAATTAACTTGCAAAGAACGACGAATTTTAATACTTTTTGTAGATGAAAATACATGTTAACATGTTTAATATATATACTAACTGAATATTAAACATGGTGTTTTTCTCATTTTAAATTTAAAAGAGTTTTAGATAGGATACAAGGAAGAAAAAAAGGCGTTTTTGTAGGCTTCCTATTTCTTCTTCTTCGTAAGCAAAGATTCGAAATCAGTCAATACAATATCATCGGCAGCATCACAAGCTTCTTTTATTTCTTGAGGTGGATCGTTCAATTCTTCTCTAACTAGATCACGTGCTGTATCTCCACATTTTTCTCCTACGCGTTGAGTTACACAATCGGCAATCAGGCTGTATAATCTGTATCATAAGAAATAACCAATTAGAAGTAGATTTGGAAAAACAATACAAAGGAAAAATTTATTAAGAATAATAACATAGTTTTTAAGAAATTTTTCGCAAATTTTTAATAATTTTTTTGTAAATTTTTAATAAATTTTAATAAAATAATTTATTATTTAATAAATTTTAAAAAATAATTTATTAATTAATAAATTTTAATAAAATTATTAATTATTTCATAAATTTTTGATAAATTGTTGTAAACGTTTAAAAAGAAAATAGCATAACTGCAATTTTAAAAGTTTATTTTCCTTACTATTACCATCAATTACTCTAATGAACATAAGTGTATCTTTATATATACATTGCTTTTCAGATTTGAAAATAAATGATCTAAATGTTAAATAAAAGCCGATTAAAATATCGAAATTTTGAACAGCTCTAGGTAGCTTATTAAGTTATGAGAATATTTAGTATTTTTTTTTTGTAAACATTTCAATAAAAGGTAAATAACAACATTTTACACTTGTGTTTCAATTAACCATTTATTACTTTATAGTGCTATACGGTTATAATTAATAATGGTTTTATGTACAAGTTCACTTAATAAAGCTGCAATTCTATAATCAAAATGTTAATAAAGAACCATTTAAAATTTTATGTTATTGTTTATGTTGTTTTAATTTTATTGTATTGCTTAAGTTTGATTTCATTGGATTTAAAGCAATAATTATACAGGAAAAATAATGCCCCCCTAAACTAGAAAGATTCGTAAATAGGCATAGTTCTGTAATTTTCATACGTTAAAACTAGAATAACTATTAAGCATATTAAGCAATTATTATAGTTTATATGCTGTTGTTTTTTATCTCAATAATTCAACGCAAACGAATACATCGGATACAGTACCACACTAGTCTAGATAGCGATGTCAGGCACATGAACTGTATAAACAAGTATAAGTAAGCACACAAATTTATTTTTTATATTTAAAAACTTAAAACAGCATTTAACAGCATTAAAGCCCTATAGATTTCTTTTTAAATCTATTCCAATTTAGAGTAACTAAATAAACCAGAAACAATACCACACTTGACTAAATCGCATTGTTAAAGTACCCTTCTCCCAAGTCTTAGGTTTCTGGTGCTCACCATCGCTTTTTTTATTCTATTGATTACAGTGGATAAATTTAGACCATTCGACATCATCAAAGATGCCCATTGCCCTAAGAATACTGATAGTTATCATCTAAAATTATGTTGCACTTACGTGCATTTGAAACGATTCTCATTCAAATTTGAATTGCTTCCAAATTGCGCAATTGCATTCAACTGATTTTCTGTTAAGCACTCCATTATATAATCCTTGTTCTCTTCGGCACAAGCCTCAGCAGCATCCTTGCCATCTAAGTGTAAAAAAAAAAGACATCCCGATTAGTTACAATCTTGTCTAAATGGATTTATACTTTTTAGATTGGACAAGCAAAATTTCAAGTACGAAATCAGATGCAAGAACCATACTTTCGCTTAATAAATATTTTTTTCCTGAGGATTTCGGAATTATCAGAGCATATGGGTTTGCCGCACAGAGAAAAATTACGATCAAAACTTCAAGAATTACAGTGTTTTCTTTGCTCTATGGGAATAAGAACACCAAAATATGGTAGATTTAATCCTAGTCCTTTGGTAATAGCCTTTTTTTAAAATTAACAATAAAATATGGTTTTATTTTTATGCCGTTTGGTTGTAAAAGGTATAAAATTTGGTAATTTTACCAGAAGAGTTGGTAATTTTAACATCACTATCAGTATTTGTGATTACCCGAAAATGTCCAGTATATTAATCACTATTTAATTTAATAAACGCTTGTTAGATTTGTGAATTTGGTTTGTTAGCCGTTTTCTCTTCTGTGTGATCTACAGGTTAACCTATACCAGTTATTACAACTATAAAAAAATATCATTCCAGATTAACTCAATAATAAACGTGAACGTGGTAGCAGAAACGTACTACATCATTAAATTATTATTCAAGTTATCTGAAACCGGGAGTCTCTTTTGTTTATACTTATGCTTTAAAAACTAAATAATTCAAAATCAATACTAATTGAAATAAGAAAAAATATGTACGGAAAAAGAAAATTCATGAAGAAATTGCACTAATTCGCTTTAGTAGTAAGAAACTTGTCATACCACTATTAACGACAATGATATGTTGTTAATTTAACTAGTAGAGAATTATTGAAATAAAAAAAGGGAGTTATGTATTAAAAAATAAAATTAATATAGAGAAAGTACATATTCGTTTAAAGGAGTCTAAATAAATTGCCAAACTATTATAGAAACCAATGATGTTTATTAATTTTTGTAAATAAGACCTAATTGAAATAAAAAAAATATGTACTTAAAAGCATAATTAAAGAGAAAGTGGTGAATTCATTTAGGAGAACCATAAAAATTCGCTCTACTTTTATTGATGACGAAATGATATATTAGTATATTTGATACCTATTAAAACCATACCAATATTCAGTGGTTTTCAATTATTGATAACAAGAAGACTGTGATTACGACACGAAGAAGACAGTTAAAATATGTGACAGGGCATATAGTTTTCTTACAAAAGTTGTCGAGTCGATATTTGTTCAAACATTTTTCGATACACGGAGTAGTTGTTTTTTCCATGTTCTATTTTCTTACTTCTTTTTTTTTTTTTTAGTCTTGCGTTTGCTACTTTCGGTGATTCCAACAAGTGATAATGACTGATGGTGAAAATGTCGATAATATTTAAATGCTATTTTTATTCTATGGCAGTTATCGAAAAACTGCAATGCGATTTTCAATTCCAACTCTCTAACGTATAAATTTAAGCAAAATGACTGAAAACAAGAACTAAAACCTAGAATTTTGGTCAGAAGCATTTATGCTTTGTCATGGTTTTCTAGTAGATTTTTTTTCCTACTTTAACCGATTCTTAGTTACGAGTATTTAGGAACTGCTAAGTCCTAGGTTTTAGTTTAAGTTTTAAAATTTCACATTATAAATAATTTTTATTTTATATGAATTTTTAAAGTCACAACGAGTGCTTTGTAATGTAAACGAAAATTTATTGTGACAGACAGTAATGATAGTTAAAATCTATAAAATGATGTTTAATGTCAATAAAATAATGTTAAATTGTACTCTAATTGTATTTTTAGTTGCTCATTGGTTTTTATAAATAAACTTATTCCTAATTCGACCTGTTTCGAGTTATGCAAACAGATGTGAACAATTCTATGCTGAAAAAAGCTCTGAAGTTTATACCTGAAATTGGACAGTTAGTTCCAAGCATGTCTGTAAATTGCTGCAATTCTTTGTCAACTTCAACTCTTTGTTCGTCATCAAGACACTCATCAATGACTGTTTCTAAACAGTTCTGCATAGTCTTCACTTCCCTGAAATAGAAATTTTATAAAATTGCATAAATAATACGAAAATTCGTATGAATATGAGATAAATTTTAATTGGCCATTTTCCTTCAAAAATGCAATTTTCAAATGCAATGCAATTTTCAAAAATGCAAATATTTTAGAAAGACTGAATTATTTGTGAAATTTTATATGCTGAAAGTCATCAAACTAATTGTTTCCATTTTTTTCGTTTCCTTGCAATATTGCTGTTACTGGAAATTTGGTCGATTGCTGCAAATCAAGGATTTTATTAGATACCTCTGCCTACGAAAAAGTCAGGAAGTGGCACAGCATCAAAAAAATAAAAAATAAAAAAAGCTTCAAAAAATATCAAGAAGATGACTAAAATAAAATAACCAGCTGTTTAGTAGTTCAATTGACAGATTTAAATTGAATGCCCTAACGGATTTGCCTTTAGAATTCTTATTTTTCATTAATTTATAAAAATTTGATGTATCCATGGACACAGTTATTGCTTTTAGCATTTTTTTAGTCATAAGATTTTTGCTGTATAGTTTTTAATAACTCTTTCAAGAGATAAGGATTAGATACTATTCAAATACAAAGATTGTGCACTCAGCAAAATCTTTAATATTAAAGCTAATTTTTAATTTAAGTAAGACACAATAATGTAAACATTATAAGCTATTTAATTTTAACTTGAAAATTTTATCAAGCTAAAAGAAATGCAGAAATCTTAATTGTAACTTTGTAAAAATGAGTTGAAACCTTCATTGTTTCATCGAAAGACGTAAAATAAAATACCTGCTATGCCAATAGAATACGTAAAATATTTAAAGTTTCCAACAATTTTAATAGAAACTATCACTTAGAACACTGTCTCCCAACATCTAATATTTTTAATTTTTGCGTTCCATGCACTGATTCTTCTAAACTCATCCAAACCACTGACGTTCCGAAAGCAACGTTTAAGTTTGAATATTTAAAATAATAATTGTTTACTCAATGAAATCAATCTTCGATGTAGTCAGAATTCGCTATTAAGTTTATTGTCTGTTTTGCCAATTGTTTAAACAAAGCCGAAATGACAACTTGTTCGATGGCAAACCCATTGCTGTTGTTTCCTTTCCACAATGAAACAGTCGAATCGATACTCTTTGAGTCATGTATTAAACATGAGGAAATGAGATCACAGAGAAAATGTAGGTCATTCTTCTTCTTCACAAACAAAAAAAATTGGAACAAGAAAAAAAGAAAGTTTGACACTTTAGTTTGCGTTTCGATTCTATGTAAAATTATAGTAATTTTTGTAGCGAATACAAACTAATCTATGGACTTACGCGCAAGTTTCCTCTTCAGTGTGAACACCAGAGAGCAAATTAACCATGATGTTCCCCAGACAGTCGAAAACTCTTTCTTCAACCCTATCTTCACTGCAGTCATCTTGAGTGTTGCCCAAAGCTAAATGAAAATTGGTAGATCATTCAACAAACAATAAATTGTACTCAATAATTCTAAAAAATATAATGAGTTAGAAAAATTAATTCTACCAGTTTGAGAAAGGTTTATTTTATGTATATTACCATTCTAAAATACTCCTCAATACTTTGTAATAATTTAAAGTGGTGAGCACTATATGTAATCACTCATCATGCAGTTAGCAGAAATATAGAATTACTTTACTTTTACTCGTTTCAACAATTAAAGAATTTGTTAAAAGTTAAATAGTGATGATTGTTATAATTGTTATTATCTAGTGACCAAAATTAAAGCAAAGAAAGGAAACTAAGTTGCACAGTTATTTGAACCATTTAAATAACTGCGCTCTATTTTGACACTTAAGAAATATTTAAATTCTCCCAAGGTAGATACACAAAATAATTTTTGCATACAAAGAATTTTAGGATGTGACACTATTTTCTTGCCTATTCATTTTTGGTGCAGGAAACATAATAATTTAAAAATATTGGTTTTAATAAAGAACAATTTTCTATCAATAAAAATAGAAATTTGACTTGCAAATAAACCTTTAAACAATGCTTGATTGCAGCATAATGTTTGTTCTGAAATTATACAAAACCAAAATTAGAGTTTTCATTACAGATATTAAAATTGATTAATCTGGAAATTGATCACGAAACTGAATTATGTGAAAAAATAACTAAAAACATTTATTTGTTTTTGACTCAAAATATGGGTGCAAATTGCAAAGTTTTTATGGAATAAAATGTATCAAAATAAAACAACTTTTGTGGTTAAAAACTATTTTACAATGTATATTTGGGAATTATGTAAAATTAAAAAGGCTATTTTTTATATTACTGTGAAAATGACCTAAATACAGCTAAATTTTTCATTCAATTGTCAACTTCAAAATTAGCATAACATTTGGGATGAAAATGGTCACATTAAACAACCTATAACTTTTTAAATAGCTCAAAATAATTTAAGTGTTCCCGTAATATTTTCTAGCCGTAAAATCTATTAGTCATAAGAATTACGTTGACTTGATTTGCTAATAACGGGATACTTTCCACTATTATTACATCCTATCCACTTTTATCATATCATATCATCAAAGATTAAATGATAGAATTTCCTTCAAAAATTAAATAATTAAAAAATTATTGAAAAGGCTTTTTTAACAATAATTAAATGAGGGAATAAAAAATGAAAGTGGAAAAACAGGAAAAATTATTAAAAATATTTATTTAAGATCAATTCCCAATCAAACAACTTTTGAATTATTTTACCATTAAACTTTCAAAATCATTTTTAACATTTCTTTATGATAGATAATACGTGAAAGTGCTATCTTATCATGGAATTAGATGTTTTAGAAACTTAGCAATACAACGTATTTTATTTTTTTCAATTCGGCCTAAACCTTTATCAACACAGTTTTTGAGCCAGAATCACTAATTTTATCAGCGAACATTTTTTTATTATAAACAAAGTTAACAATGCACGTTTCAGAAAAATAAAATAACTTGAAACACGCATGTTAAAAATTCACATTGCTAAAAACATGAGTTTAAGAATATACCCAAATCTTGTATGCTCGTTTGAAAATATAGACTTCAGTTGAAATGCGTGTTTAAGAATATCGACGCAAATTAAAATGCACTTTTGAAAAAAAAAACAGACATAGCTCAATATTTATATAGAAGAAAATGGAAATAGCATTTATTCCGTACTGTAAATTATTACTGTAAATTTAAATAAATTTGCAATGTATACATTAATCTTTTAAGGTCAACAATTCTTTTTCGATCGTGGATTCGAAAAGCGGTACATCATGCCAAGTCCAGTTTGTTTGTCGGAAGTTTTGAGCCATATCAATGTGTTTCAAAAACCCATTTTAAGCTTGGCCAATTTTCTAAAACGGTCATTTTGATTCATATCTACTTTTCCAACCCGCTTTTGAAGCTTAGTCTATTTTTCAAACGCACTATAATGTATATGTAATTTCCAAAATATAAGATTTCAGAAACAGTTTGTTTTTTACATATTTTGTTAAATAATTCAGAATTGGAAAGATTGTTTTCGAGTCACAGCTGTTATCGTTCCTATACACTTGGAACATGATTTAATAAATAAACTTCAGTTAATTAAATTTAATCCAAAAAAAATATGAAAATAACCTTAAAAACACCCCTTTTGGGATAATCACACTGCTGTTCCACTTTACAGTAAGAATTCTTTACTTGAGTAGTAATTCCTTCCATGGAAGAAGAAAAAATCAGATTTTATCTTTAATTTAAGTTTATCTACTTTTAAAAATTATATTAATTTAGATTTAGTTAAAAGTACATTTTCTTACTTGTAAATTATTATTATTATAATATATATATATATATATATATATACGAAAAACACGAAGAAAATTAAGAAAAGCAATAAGTATCATTTATTGCGCATAAGCTGCAAGTAAACAGAACTCATTAGATATGTTCAAAATGAAGATAAAACAAAGGAAAATAACAGACATATGAAAAAAAGGGTGGGGGAAGAAAAAGAAAAAAAAAACAACTGGGAAAAAAAAGGATGAATTTTTTTTAAAAAATCCAGAAAATAAATCTTTTTATCAGCCCACACGATTATATCCGCAAAAAAGAGTGCTTTCTGATATTGTATCAATATAGCCAAAGCAAAATATATTAATACAATAGAGTGAGGAGCACTCAAAAAAATTTTTTTACAAAAATTACAATAAATAAAATAGAACACAAAAAATAAAAATAACACGTAAAAACAGAAAATAAAATAAAATGAAAAGAAGAAACAGAATAAAACATAGATAAGATATAAGTTTCATCTATAAAGCGAATAGCGAATTCAAATGTGCTTACATGAACGGGAAATTTTTCAAGAATGATTTAAAAAATATTTTCGTAACAAGATTGCCAGGTTGCAAAATATGAAAACAAAAGCGCAAATTGAGCGTAACTAGGAGTTTTGTTTTAAAGTGCCGTTCTTACTGCATTGCTGAAGTGCGTTTGATTTGTTGGTTAGTTACCAAGGATGGGCCCGAAATGGATGTGCGCAAGGTAATATTATACTGAATAATTTAAAGAAGTAGACCATAAATAATTTTAGAAAATAAATATTTACTGAGGAAAAAAATATAAAATAGAATAGAGAAACATGTATTGCCAGTTTTGCACATAATTTTAGCCGTGGATTTGCACGAAATGGATTTGCACATGGAAAAATTATGTAAATTAACAAAGAAATTCTTTTTTGGTAGATAATTTTAGCCACGTATTTGCCCGAAATGGATTTGCGCGTGGAAAAATTGTATAAATTAATAAAGAAGTTTTTAGTAAATAATTTTAGACATGGATTGGCCCGAAATGGATTTGCACACGGGAAAATTATATAAATTAACAAAGAAAATTTTGTGTAAATATATCCAAAAAAATATACGATTAATTCAATGATTTTATATAGAATTTTATTACTTTAGTTGGGTATCTGTCGGATTTTCTAAAAATTTTTTATCCTTTTTTTTCCTTTTCCAGTTGTTTGCTATTTGTTTTTCTTCCCCCACCCTTTTTTTCATATGTCTGTAATTTTCCTTTGTTTTATCTTCATTTTGAATATATCTAATGAGTTTTGTTTACTTGCAGCTTAAGCGCA